GGAAGAGAGGATTCTCCTCCCCCTCATCCGCCTCCTCCTCCTCCCCCTCCTCCTCCTCCCCCTCCCCCTCTTCCCCCTCCTCCTCCTCACCTTAGTCTTCTTTTCTTTGTTTTCTTCTTCTATTATTATTATTATACACAGGATCTCACTATGTAGTCCAGCTGGCCTTGAACTCACTATCCTCATGCCTCAGCTCCCAGAGTGCTGGGATTACAGGCATGCACCACCACACCCAGTGAGAATGTTTATTATTCAGACACGAAAGATCAAGACACATTTTCCTCTTGAGGAGAAACCAATCCCAAGCTGACTCTGGGGTTCTTAAGGATATTTTTCTTTGTTAACATCAGTGGACGGGGGCACACTCATTTCTGTGAAGGATGAGATAGTGAGCACTGCAGCATTGCAGGATTGGAGGCCATCCAGTCTCGGTCACAAGGAGCCGTGCTGTCATCAGGCCAGAAAAGTCACAGACAATCATAAATGACTGAGTGTGGCTGGATTCCAAGAAAGTTTCCTGTACACAGCAGGCCAGGGCCTGGATTTGGTCCACTGTTTACCATCCCCTGGTCTAGGAAAATTTGGCTGGAGCTGCCCGGTTCTAACTACTGGGCCACCTCCTGGAGAACAAATGGAGATATGTACCCCTGTCAGCACCCAGGGCTGCTGGAGTTTTACCTACCCTGATGACTCACGCCCTTGAGTTCTAACCTCTAGTGGGTCACGCTGAGTTTGAGGGTTCTGCCGTGCCACCCATAGCCACACGCCAGGTGTTGAATACACTCCCAGTCTAGGGACCAGGACTGTGGGTGCAAGAGGCACACAAAGTGAGGCAGCAACACTGCGTCTTGCATTTCAGTTTTGTCCCCAGAAGTGCCTAACACAGGACATCCCACCGAGAACGCATGCAACCGTGTGCAGCAGGACATCACTGCTCCGAGTGTCAGTTTCCCAGTCTATAAACTGGGTAAAACCACAGTACTGTGGGATGCTGTTGATGGTAGCTTAGTGGGATGGGACTGGAGGATTCAGAGGAGCTCACACTTGAGCCTTTCGGGATGTGCAAAGAGGAGGAGGGGTGATGGCGCTCTAGGGGCATGCAGGCGTGGGGTGCAGGTGGAGCAGGTTCCAGGTAAGAGGACACAGAGGACACAGTTGAGAGAAACACCTTCCCTAAGTCAGAAACTTCCTGGAAGCAGTACAGATTCACCCCTGTTAATGAGGGCAGTCTCTGTCTGTGATCTGTGCCACTCCTCGTCCCCTGGCAGTCACCTCCACATCTTGATGTCCTGGGGGGCTGCTTGGACCTCTCCCTCTGAGAGCCCCAGTGTCTCTAAACAGATCCCTGACCGCGTGGGATCCATCTTCCTCTGAGCCAGCTCTGTGTCCTAGGACCTTGGTGTGGGGACCCAGGCGCAGGTAGCACCTCTGCTTTACCATCTGGGTACCTCTGATTTGTCTCTGGGGAAAACTGCTTTGCTTGTTGCAAGGAATGCATTCCCCAGGCCGAGTCTCTGCGTGGTCAAAGTCAAGGTCATGAATCCTCACACTTAGTACTTAGTCATGTCTGGGATGCAGAGCACGGGGGAAAGTCCCCTTCCCCAACCAGGACGGCATCTCACGTCTTTGTGGAGGTCTGGGCTCTGGACTTGGACAAGCTGGGTGAGGATCCAGGTGCTCTGTGGACTCAGTGATGCCATCTGTAAGATGGAACTGCTGGCTCCGTGTCTGTGGGCAAATCCACCTGGGTTTCATCCAGAGGGGAGTTTTCGAGAACGCTGGGTGTCAGGCGTTTTTCTAGACCTTTAGTGAGCAGGATCGGCACTTGTGTTCTAGTTGGTAGAGGCAGAGAACAAGGGCGGAAATTAATAGCCCCCTCCTGGATCAGGGATTTTAACGAGCGGTCAGTCTGTGTGCATCCCTTAGTGACCTTCCCAAAAAAGGCATGAACCTGGCGGCTTAAACCACAGAGACTCATCCTTGCATAGTTCTGGAGGTCGGAAGTTCAAAATCAAGGTGTCACCAGGGTTGGTTTTGGATGCCTCTCTCCTTGGTTTGCAGGTGACTATCTCTCCCTGTGTCCTCTAAGTTCTTTTCTTTTTGTATGTGTGTCCCTCTTTTTCATAAGGACATTCGTCCTATTGGATAGGGCTCCACCCTTCTGACCTCATTAAAGACCCAATGTCCAAATACAGTCACATTCTGAGATATTGGGGGTTAGGATCTCAGCATACTGGGGGGACAATTCAGTACAAGCCATGGTGAAACTTTGGGGGTGTCTTAGGAATAAGAACACAGTGTGGGGAGAAGGGGTTCTTTGTCTGATATTCCTCGTAAACCTTTGCTCTGGATCCCTTTGAAGTCCTGCCATAACTGCCCCCCTTTTTGGGAAGAGTTTGGCATCTTGTCCCTCCTGGTGATGGCGCCTCCACTCCTGATCAGATCTTTCTGTTTCTCCTGTGTCAAGAGGTCCAGGGAAAGAGCAACTCTTTGGCCCCCTCTCATGGATTCTTACCCATGTTCTCTTAGTTTTGAGTGCTGACCTACTTCACACAGGAAGGAGTTTGTCCATGAGGAGAATCAGTCTGTATCTAGAAGAAAAAAAAAATTGACAAAGGACAAATGCAGACTCATTTACAGGTACCTGCTGTGTACCAGACACTGTTAGCCAATCAAAGTTTGTTCGTTTCATTGGCTTTTTCTATCAACCCCGTGAGAGAGAAGCACTGTTATTCATTTTTATAGGTGAAGCTGTTGAGGCTCAGAGAGGTTAAGCAACTTGATCAAGGTCACACAGCTAGTAAGGGGAAAAGTATATAATATCTGCATTATAGTAAATTGCATACTGCCTAAAGCTGACCACTTTAACCATTTTAAAGTCCACATTTCACGGGCATTGAGTACATTTGCCACCTTCCATCTTCAGAATTTTCTCATTAGCCCAACAGAAACAGTATATTCCTTAGGCACCCACTCCCCCCGCCCCTCCACACCAGGTTCTGGTGACTACCAGTTTGCACTCTCTCTGTCTTTGTGGATTTGCCTGTTCTGGACATTTCATATGATACATGCCTTTTGTGTCTGGCTTTCTTCATGTTAGCGTGTTTTTGAGGACCACTCATATTGTGTCGTGAATCAGAACCTCGTAATACTGTGTACTTTTTCCCCGCGTGGACAGACCACATTTCTTTCAGTCATTCATCCATCAGTGGGCATTTGGGTCATTTTCACCCTGTGGCTGGTGTGAGTGTGCTGCTGTAAACATTCGCCGACAGCGTTTGTGTGAACGCTTGTTTGCAGCTCTCTTGGGGATAGATGTAGGGGTGGAATTGCCGGGTCATACGTTAACCCTATGTTTACACTGGGGAGTTGCCGCTGAGCCGTTTCCCGCCCCAACCCCCCCATTCTCACCAGCAGCGAACAAGGGTTCGATTCCCCTCTTCCTCACCAACACTTGTTAGCTTCAAAATTGGTTTTTAGTATGGCACCTGGCAGGTTGGAAATTGTGTCTCATTGTGGTTTTGATTCGCCTTCCCTGATGACTAATTCCCCTGAGTGTGTTTACCCGGACTTGCTGGCTCTTCGTGTGTCTTCTTGGGAGAAATGTCTTTTCAAGTCCCTTTTTCACTTTTTAATTGGGTTGTTTGTCTTTTTTATTGTTGCTTGGGAAAAAAAACTCTTTGTAAGTCATAGCTGTTATGCAGAAGTAAAGTGCACAGTTTTTATGGCTAGCTTGATGAATTTTTATATATCGGTCCCCTGGGGAAATCACCAGCTAAGACGGAGGATGTTTTTCAGCTCTACAGAAGACTCCTTGGGTCCCCAAGTCTGTATAGGTGTCCTTATCTCAACTAGCAAAAACCCTTTGTCTTTCTTATTGTGCTTATGTCTACTCTTCAACAAAATTAGAGATAAGAGCAGAACAGGTTCTGCCTGGAAGCGAAGGGGAGGGGAGAAGGTCGGGGAGGAGGGAAGAAATGACTCCAACAATGTATGCACATATGAAAAAATGAATAAAAAATAAAATAAATAAAATTAAAAAAAAAGATTCATCCATGTGGCTGGGGCCGGGGATGCAGTTCAGTGGTTAGAGCACTTGGCTAGCATGGAAGGCCCCGGAACCATGTTCTATGACAATAGAGATGTCCCCAATTGTTTGAGCACACGATAACTTATTCATCCATTCTGCTGCTGATGGACATGAAGATTTTCCAGCGTTTGCTTGTAGGGTTAACACCGCCATGAACACTCTTCTGCAGGACTCTGTGCACATGGGCACTTGTTTTTGCTGGACCCGTGCCTGGGGGCGAAATCATCCGGTCAGAGGTAACTTAGCTTTACTAGGAACTGCTAAATCATTTTTCAAGAAAAAAGTTTTTTAACCAGTTTGCAATTCCACCAGGATTTAATGAGCATTCTGGTCGCTTATACTGTGGCTGACATTTGGCACTGTCATTCAGTTTTCAAACATTCTGGTGGGCTCTATAATTTCTATTTTTCATCCTCCTCTTCCTCCCCCTTATGTCTTATTTCTCCTTTTCTCTTCTTTTTCTTTCTCTTTCTCCTTCCTCTTCTTCTCCTTCATTCTCTCCTTAATATATTTTATATAAGGAAAAGAATTGTTTTGAAATTATAGATTTTATATGCAAAGTCGATTTAAAAAATTTCAACTAGTACCAGATTGTAAAATATTTTCTGTGTCTCACCTATTCCACTTTTGGGCTACAACTTAATGCTGACTTACCTGTGCTCCATTTTTGTCAGGGCCCTGACTCATTAATGCTAGGTTTGGAGGTTGGTGCTCCAGCCAGAAATGAGGGGTGCAGCCAGCGGCCAAGGGACAGAACAAATTCTCAATGACTAATCCTTCTGGTATGACGTCATAGGCCTTGCCTTTCCAATGAGCCCCAGCCTCAGCTCCAAACATTGCTCTTTGATTTTGAAAGGGGTCTTGCCTGGAGTCCGGGGTCATGAGATGAGGCCAAGTGCAAAAGATCGAAATGGCCCAGCCTGAGAGCCAGGACAGCTGGTGTGGAAGACCAGTGGCGTCTTTTTCCAGTTTGGGGACATGGTTCTTGGAGTAGCTCTTTGCTATGCAGGGTGGCATGGGAGTGTGTTTGCTTCCAGCCCTGCCCTTTCCTCCTTCACTAGGCCAAATGCTGAGGGCATCAGTAACCCGGCGCTGGGGGGTGTGGCTGCTCAAGTGACCACACCCACTCTTGATGAAGCTGAGCACGCTGGGGCCACGTGAGCTGGCAGCTCTGGACAATGCACGGCACAGCAAATCTTGGAAAATGGCCCAAAGACTGAACATTGGTTTGAGACTTCCTTCCAAGGTCTTTGTGACAAGAAGCTGGGAAATGGGTGTTGCACTAGAACCTTCTGGGTGCAGAACCACTTACTAGCCCCAGGCTGAAGGTGGCCAGGTGCTGGAAGAAGAGTATGTTCTGCCCTCACAGAGTGCATGCTGGAGAATTCGCTGGGAAGGTGCTACTGAGCCACCCCTCCTGACTGGCCGGTGGAGACTGCCACAGTCCTCGGAGCTCCCCCAAGATGATTGAGCTGGGTCCCATGGCTCAATCTGCAGACCTGGCTTCTGGTCTTGGCTCTGCCACCGTGGAGTGTCTGCTTTGGGTTAGGTGTTGAGGATACAGGCCTTCCTTGTGTGTGGGCATAAACCATGGGGGAGGCAGGTGTTCATCCAGTAACCATGTAAGGTCATGAAGAATTCCTACTGGGATGCATTCGGTGAAGAAAAGACAGATGGGGCTGGAAGCCTGTGTAACCAGGAGATCAAATGCACCCTGAGAGTTGTGGTTGGGGTCTTCCTTAGGCCTACAGGATGAGGAATAGGATTCTAGGTAGTAGAAATAGCCTGTGCAAAGGTCCAGAGGTAGATTAGAGCTTGGAGAGGTCAAGGACCAGAAAGATGGCCAGAGCAAGAAGAGGAATGCAGTAGAATTTGAAGGGTAGCTTTTGTAGACCTAGGAAAGGAGAAAAATAGGAAACCCTTGAAGAGTTTAAAACTGATGGGAAACTGAAGCTGAAAGCAGTCATATGCCACCCGCCACACATACACTCTCAGTGTGATGCCCCGTGTCAGGCACTCTGGGGGACAAAAGGGAAACATGAGACGTGGGCCCCAGTGTCCCTGCCCCACTGTGTTTACCTTGCACCCATTTAGCACGAACCCCACTTCTGACTTTTTACAATGGATCTCCACGCAGCAATCAGTCAAAATGAGGTATTGAAAAGCATACAGTGCTCTGTGTCACTGTAGAGTGGGATTCACTTATTTAGCCACATAAAGGAAGGACACACGGACACATGCCACAACCTGGAGGAACCTCAGATACTTCGTGCTAAGTGAAAGAAGCCAGACACACAAGCTCGCAGGTTGTACGACTCCATCCCTGGATGGAGTCAGAGTAAGCATGCCCTTCCCTTCCTCCTCCTTCCTTCTGTCCATCTTTTTCTCATCCATCTGTCCACTCAAGCTTCCCATCAGTGTTTTGGAGATGATGAGGGCTTTGTTTTTTAATCCGTTTATCTAATTTGGCAGTACTGGGAATTGAACTCGGGGCCTTGTGCTTGCTAGGCAGCACTGTACCACTTGAGCCAGGCCCTGACCCCTTTTGCTCTTTAGTTATTTTTCAGATAGGATCTCATGCTTTTGCCTTGGGCTGGGCTTGGACTGGGGTTTTCTTACCTTCACCTCCCACGTTCCTGGGATTGCAGATGTGAATTATCATGCCCCGTTTGTTTTAAAGGGTTTTGCTAACTTTCTGCCTGGGTTGGTCTTGAACCATGGTTCTCCTTATTTCTGTCTCCCACATAGCTGGGATTACAGGCATGAGCCACTGCCCCTGGCCTGATAAGGGCTATGACCAGAGGGTGTGGCTGTGCCCTCTTCCCTTTCCAATAGAGGGTGTTGCTCTACTTCAGGTATAAAGCAAACTGGCTTCCAAGGTTGGCTTCTTTGAGACAATTTTCTTAGCTGTATAGACAGACACCTGACTTAATCTGGTCATAGTGACATTAATACTGAGTACCGCACTATGAGCTCCCTCTATGCCAAGCACCTTATCACATCGATTCTCCTGAGAGCCATATCGATATCTTTCCATTGTTCAGGTGAGACTTAAAGAGGGAGGTCACTTTCCTGAGGTCCCTCTCCCTGAAGCCTGTGCATGTAATCACCAAGTAAATCACAGTGCCTTGGTGTGTTCTTCTTGGAACCTTCACCTCCTGATGCTCATGGGGAAGAAATTCTTGTCCCCCAGCCCCCAGCCTCCTCTCTGACTTCTGCAGCCTGGGGCAGGGAGGGTCAGCCACCGTGAATAAGGTGCTATAGCAGAAGCACCTGTGTGGTCCTTGCAGTCGGCTCCCTGGGGGTTGATAAGCAGGCCAGGGCTGTGAGGGGGCAGCACATGGCTTCTTCCAGAAGGCCTCCTGCAGAGCGTGACTTTCAGGTGGCACGAGTGGGAGGCTTTGGGTTTAAAATGAGCAGTCTTCCTTCCTGGCAAGGAGGCTCTGTGTGGCCACCAGAGGGCACTCAGCTCCCGGCTGGACTGATGAGAATTTGGGGAGGTGGGCAAGATGAGGTGAGATGAATGAATCAATGATGAGTGAGAGGAATGTCAGATGCCCTTTGAAAGACAAGCCCTTAAAGCAGCTCGAACTGGTGCCAAGCCAGGGGCTGGGGGCTCTGACCAGGGAAATGGCGTGGTTCCTGCTCTCAGGGAACCTATGGCTGAGTGTGGAAGACAGAATTTCAATGAAGTGTGATACGTACCACAGTCTTCATCCAGGACGGTCATTTAGGAAGCACTTAGGAGAACCTGCTGTGTGCCAGGCTTTATGCTAGTTGCCAGGGATACAAACATGAATGGTAAGACACACACTCCACTTGGGAGATGGCACAGTTGGAGAAATAGGTATGGAAAAACTAGGAAACTGAAGCCATAGAGATATAGGAGAAGAACACCTAACCCAGGCCAGGAGGGAAGAGGGAATATCTGAGGAGGCTTCCTGGAGGAGGAGCTCCCGATCCCTGCTGGGTGTCAGGGAAGTCTGCCTGCAGGAGACACACAGACAAACAGGGATTAAGCAGGCAGAGAAGGGGGAAGAGATTATGGTAATGGAGGTGGCATGAGCAAAGGGTAGGAATATGATGGAGATCAGGTGAGGTGAGGAAAATAGTAACTTGACTCAGCAAGGTAGGAGAGGACATCGTAGATGAGGCAGCATTTGGACTAGACCATGGAGTATGCGTAGGAGTTTGCCAGGCAGGGAAGGAGAGAGACAGTAGAAACATTTTGTAAGATGCAGTTTTGCTACCTGCCCTGCCCCCTTTCCCTCTTTAGTCACTCAATACTGAGTTGAGTGTAATATCTGTGTGGGGTTCGTGAGTTGTTCTGGTGAAAGGTCCCTGCAGGTGAGAGAGAGGTGAAGTTAAAATGCAGATTCTGGGATCAGTTTGGGACAAACCTGAGTATGACCAAAGTCAAGCTCCCAGATGACCAGTCTCTGGGTGGTGGAGCCTGGGACCAGGAATGACAGGGGAGGCCTGGGATGGATGCAGTTAAGAAATGGCCACTAGAGCCATCTCTGTCACCTTCCCTCCCTTCTAATGGCCTTGGTGTCCTCGTCAGTGAGTCAGGATGACAACAGTGTCTTCCTCCTGAAGGTACTGCTGTGTTTAAATGAGGTAATGCCTGGGAAGCCCCTGATCCTGCCCCTGGGACACTGTGTGGCTCAAATCAAAATTGCAGTGGTAGTCACTGGTATTGATGTTGTTACTAATATTGTTCTTAAGCCTCCCATTTGGTAAAGTGGAAACGGGTTTTAAATGCTCCTACTCTGTGCTGATGAGTGTAGAGATGGCCCTCTAGGTTCAGATCTGAGCTTAATCATCCCCTGTCCAGAATTCCTGTTTTTACTGTTTTTCTCCTCCTCTTCAGTGTGAGCGATCTTAATGGAAACTGAGTAACTACCTTGCAATGATCTGTCTGCAAGGAAGACAGCCAGAAAAAAAAAAAAAAGAATTCCAAATGAATCTTGAAACTGCTATTTTTTCAAGTTTTGGAAGCCCCATCCCTTCCCTTTTGAAATTAAAAAAAAAATTAATATATTTTATTTAGCCCAACATTTAATGCATCTACAATATTACTAGTTAGGTATTTGACTTTTTTTTTTCATACTGAGTCCAGTTCAGGTGCTCTCATGATAAGCTTAGTGGGCAGGATGAGGCTAAGAAATGCAAAAGATGAAAAGAAAAAAAATACCCAAACAAACAAGGCAGATACATTTGTGCAAACATGGTTAATCTCAACCTTCCATATACATTGTTCTTTTCGATTGTATCAAATTGTGTAGCAAGCTTGCTTCAGATACCAACACAATGCTGCATTTATCTTAACTACACAAAGTTACCTGTGGATTTCCTTACACTGACAATTCTGCATATCTCACTTTTTTGCCACGAATGTGTTACACACAGGCAGAGAACAAGTGATCAGCCCACCAGCAAGGCAGGACCAGTGCCCTACATGGCTGAAGCCAGACTTCTTTCTTCTCTCTTCCCTTTTTTAATTGTTTTATTATTCATATATGCATACAATGCTTGGGACATTTCTTCGCCCTACCCCCACCCTCTCCCTTACCACCCACTCCGCCCCCTCAATACCCGGCAGAAACTATTTTGCCCTTATCTCTAATTTTGTTGAAGAGAGAGTATAAGCAATAATAGGAAGGAACAAGGGTTTTTGCTGGTTGAGATAAGGATAGCTATACAGGGCGTTGACTCACATTGATTTCCTGTGCGTGGGTGTTACCTGCTAGATTAATTCTTCTTGATCTAACCTTTTCTCTAGTTCCTGTTCCCCTTTTCCTATTGGCCTCAGTTGCTTTTAAGGTATCTGCTTTAGTTTCTCTGCGTTAAGGGCAACAAATGCTAGCTAATTTTTTAGGTGTCTTACCTATCCTCACCCCTCCCTTGTGTGCTCTCGCTTTTATCTTGTGCTCAAAGTCTAATCCCATTGTTGTGTTTGCCCTTGATCTAATGTCCACATTTCTCTCTTCCCTTGAGTGGGGTCAGGAGTGGCCAAGGGTCAAAGGCTGAGCTTTGGGTGCTGGGATGAGCTTTTCTTTATTTCTCCCACTTTTACCATTTATAGATCATTCAAGTTTCTGCTGTGTACCGGGTGAACAAAGGATGCCACTTAATCTTTTGGACCTTGGAGAGTCCCCAAGAGTAGGACTAAACTTCTGGCAGTTTCTACTTTGTTTTAGCTGCAGATTCTTTTTTCTCAAGGAAATAAAAGCTGGAGATCCACCATGTAATAGCCATATCAATAAGTGTTGATACTTTGTAGTTATGTACAAGGTTGATTTTATCTCATTCTCTATACACCCCAGAGTGAAACTGATTCCTCATGGATTCCTGTGTGTTGGAATCTGGAGTGTCTGTTCCAGAACTGGGTCATCCACCAGGCTACAACTCACCCCATCCCAAGCAGGGCTTGGGAGAACAAAGCACCTAGGGTCCCTTCTTTTTTTGTCATGGGACTGGGATTTGAATTTGGGACTTCATGCTTGCAAAGCAGGTGCTTGAGCTACACCTCCAGTCCATTTTGCGCTGATTATTTTGGAGATAGGGTCTCGTGAACTGTTTGCCCAGGCCAGCCTTGAACTGTGACCCTCCTGATCTCAGCCTCCCAAGTAGCTAGGATGACAGGTGTGAGCCATCAGCTCCCAGCTACCAGGGCCCATTTTTGATGCATCTCCTTCATATCTCCTGTTGGTGCCCCTGAGAGGACCCTATAGGATCCAGCCCATGGTGTTTGGGAGCTCCCTTCCTCAGCACCCCTAAAATAGGCACCCTTCCAGTTCTTACTAGGGACTCATTGAGAACCAGACAGACCTGTGGGTGTGCTCTGAAAGGGGACTCAGCACCAGAAGGCCTGACAAATGGGAGAAGTTTCCAGAAAGGGTTCTGGAATCTAGCTGAAGGCTTAACCTCTGGATCTCCTGAAAGGCATCAGGTTAACATCTACAGAAATAGGGAGAGGAGGTGATAAAGGAAAATGATGGAGAGGCTGGTATTATAAGAACTTTTGTAAATGTCACAATGTGCCCCAGCCCAATAACAAAAGAAGAAAACCATCTACATAAACGGACGGGGTGTGTCTGTACAATCTGATGCAGGGCTGTGGATATGGGCACTGACCTGCAGGGGGTGAATGTCACCTTGACCCAGATCTCCTGGACTCTCTGGAGGCCCACCTGGGCCTTACTGTCTTCATCAAACCTCCCAAGGATAGTGCGGCTGTGAATTAAGGGTGAGCAAGCAGAAGTGGGGGATGGGGTGGGCTTTGGTCGCTGAACTTGACCTTGGCTCTTTAGAGCTTCTCCAGGGAGCTGGGAGGAAAGAAATGGCTTCTGGCTTCACTTTGCTTAACAGAACAGGATTTTCAGAGGAACCAATGTGGGGAGAGGGCAAAGCCCTCAAAGTGACCTCAAAGGTCCTTTCTCTTTACCTAAAAGCTGTCACTCATGTCTCCCCATGGGTTTGGGACTCCCTTCCCCCATGGCAGACTGAAGGCTGGGTCTAATTCTATGCACAGATGGATATATCTTCTTTTCTTCTTTTTCTGTCTCCTGTTCAGAGCCAAGAAGAAAAGCAAACCCTTGAACCTCAAGATCCACAGTGGCCTGGGCAGCTGTGAGAACATTGCGTCTCAGCAGCGCTCCCCACTCCTGTCCGAGCGCTCCCTGCGCTCCTTCTTTGTGGGACATGTGCCCTTCCTGCCCTCCACCCCGCCCGTCCACACCGAGGCCAACTTCTCTGCAAGTAAGTCACTGCCCCACCTCTGGCTGCACTGGCTGAGGGTACCAATGGCACCTCCGTCCCCAGCCCTGTGCCCTCCAAGCCAGGTGCAAACTCTTTTCTTCAGATCACCGCTCCAGGAGCATCCACTGTCTGCCACCTCCCACCTGTACCACTCACGCTCCTTGGATGGTTTTGGAGGGGGCGTAATTGGTACTGGGAGGTTGACTGACTGTTGTCATTGGGCCCTGGTTCCTGCTCTTTGGTCTGCAGGTGTGAAAGTGAAGGATTGACAGAAGTGAGCAAGTTTGCAGGGCATTAGGGGAACATCAGTCTTTTCTCTCTCTCCTCCCCAGCCTTGCAGCTGCATGAGTTTAGGACTTTTCTTGGTCTCTGTGGTCAAAGCCTTGGTGATGAAATTTTGTATTTTTGCTTCACTCCGGTCAACACGTATAACCTTTACATCTTGAAGATGTATTCGGGTTCAAACAGGGCTGAGAGTGGCCTGGGGTGGTTTATATTCTAGATTCATTTCTACTCAGAGTAGAAATGGAAGTTTCTGGTGATCAAGTGCTGATGTTTCAGAAAGCTTTTTATCTTCTCTGCCTAGAGGTCTGTTTTGCTGAACAGGCACAAGTGGGGTCGGGAGGGGGGTCCCCTGAATGAAGCCCATCTAGACCTCCAGCAAGACAGCATCTTTGATTGGTTGGGTGCCCTGGAGAAGAGGGGCTGCCTGGCTGCAGAAGAAGCGAGCTGCTTCTATTTATATGGCTCAGGCTGCTTGTATCCTGCTGTTTGTACATAGGAATGGTTACTGAGCTTTGGCGCATGCTGCTGGGCCACCTTCAGGACTGCATTTACTTCTTGACTCTGCCCATTGTACAGATGGGGAAATTGAGCCTCAGGGACACCAGAGAACTTGTCCCAAGTCACACAGCTATCAAGTTGTTGAGCAAGGAGATAAATGTTGTTCTTTCTTACCCAGAGGAGACAAGCGTATCCATCAAGTGTGATTTGATAACCAAGAAGAAAGAATGCCTTTCTCTAGAGGTGGGGTTTTTATTTATTATTTTGTCTAAGGGTTCTAAATTTTTTCAGGGAATGTAGTGAAAGCCATGAATTTTCTCCCTGGAATAGGCACGTGTAACACTCAACATCTAGCCACATGGTTACGCTGGGCCTGGGGGTTGAACTTGGTTCAGTCCAGATGTGTGGGGTGTGTGGCACAGGGATCAGCTGAAGGCCCCATGCTGACGTCAGTTAGGAGCAGATCCAGAGATGGGGGTCTGCAGGCGTTGCCTCAAGCAAACTAAAATAGCACCCAAGACACACACGTCAACACCAGAAGGCCAATTTATTAATTTGTCAAGAGAAATCACTGTCAGAGAAAGCCATAGATGCTCTGTGAGGTGGACTTGCATGGCTGTGAGAGTGGCTTGCTGAACAGGGACAAAGAAAGGGTAATGATGACAGAGAAAACACATGGGGGTAGGGTAAAGGAAGTGTCATGGCCAGGATGTGGACCCTGGAGTGAGGTGCCTGAGTTTGAATCCCAGCTCCGTTACTTTGGAACAGTAGGTCTGACCTGGAGTGAGTTAAGAGCATTCTGAGCCTCAGTCTCCTCATCTGTAAAATGGGAATGAGTATACACCTGCCACATAGAGAGCTGTGAGGGTCATATAAGCTCATGCAAGTCAAGCCATCTGCACAGGACCTGTACACAGTGCTTAATAAATAGTAGCTGTCATTGTGTTGCCTATTAGCTTATTAGGGAAATCTAGTCATATTTACAGCCTCTGGTCCATGATTAATTGTGGGCTGTGGTGCCCAAATGTTCTGCAGTGCGCCCCCTCTCCAGCTACTTCCTGATGGCTGTAAGAGTGCTTGAAATTTACCTTGGCGAGATGCCCAGCAGCTGCCACCCAGAAGCCATCTGTCCTTGACATCACTATCCTATGAGCGAATGTCACCATGGTCCCCTCTGGGGGTTGGCCACTGCTCTGCACTTTAATTTTGACCAGAGTAAAGACATCTCCTGTCTGCTTGGAAAAAAGCACAGGCTGGCACATTCGGGCCCCTGCCAAAGAGTTTTGAGAGGATTCATCATAACTCTGACTTTTCACCTGCCCTAGTCTCCACCTGAAAGGAAAGTTCTGTCTGCTTGCCTGTGGGCAGGAACAAAGACCTTTGCTAAAAAGCACCGGGGTTGTAATCTTAGCTCTTTAGGAGACAGAGATCAGGAGAATCACAGTTTGAGGCCAACTCAGACAAAAAGTTCATGAGACCCCCATCTCAAATAATGGCTGGGTGCAGTGGGGCATGCCTGCCATCCTACCTCCACAGGGAAGCACAAATAGGAAGATCACAGTCTGGGCTGGCCCAGCTATAAAGCAAGACCCTGTTTCAAAAATAACCAATGGAAAATGGGCGGGTGGAGTAGCTCAAGTGGCAGAGCACCTGCCTAGCAAGTGCAGGGCTCTGAGTTTAACATCCCAGTACTGCCAAATAAAGAGAGAGAGAGAGAGAGAGAGAGAGAGAGAGAGAAAGAAAGAGAGAGAGACTCTGCTGCACAATCACCCCTTTGGATGGTCCTGCCTTTGTATGCAAAGAATTAGTGTGTAACCCAAGTATTAACTAGAAGACCATGGCTCAGGCCCACGTCCACTGTCCTAGGGAACAGTAGAAACGGAAGCAGACTGGGAGACAGGATTTGAATCTCACTGCTGCCAGTTGCCTGTGTGACCCTAATTTGTGCCTGGCATTGTCACTGTACAGACTTGGGCGGCATTATTCCCATTTTACAGGTCAGGAAGCTGAGGCTCAAAGGGCACGTGGTCTTGCCCATGTGCAAGGTTTTAAATCCAGATCCAACTCTATCCTGGACTCCATCTCTGCAGGACAGCAAGTTCCTTGCTCTATTTGGGCCTCGGTTTCCCCCCTGTACAAAAAGAGGCTCCATGTGGGTCCATTCCAGAGCTGAGAAGCTAAGGCTTACCCCTTAAGCTTCCCTCGGAAAAATCTTTCAACACACTCAGAATTCTGGTTTTTGGAAAAATAAAAAAAAGACAGCTGCCAGGCACTGGTCTGACTTGCTTGTCATAGTCCTGGTCCCCACTACTCTGGATCTGAGAAAACTCACTGCGGCTCCAGTGCCAGCCTTTTTGCTGTGGACCCAGCCCAGGGAGCCCCTGGGGCTATGTCCCTGCCAGGCTGCATCTGTCTGCCATTTGTCACTGTTAGTTCTGGCTGTGGTCTGCATACTGAAGGGTGGTTGATGATATGCCATCTTGTTACTCCCCATGGTAACACCTGGGGACAGCATTGAGCAGACCTTGCCATAGAGTGGGCAAGCCTCAGAGCCTCATGATGCCCAGCCAGCTTGTGTGAGCTGCAGAGGACTTTACCTCTTGGGGCTTGGCCTAATCCCCTGGTCTCTAGGTGACAAGCAGAGAGAGGAAGGGGAGTGATAGTGGAGGAATGGAGGCTTTCCAAGGTTCATTGGCCCTTTATGTGCATGGTCTCAGTGCCCCATGGACCAAACACAAGATGCAGACTGCTGCACAGAACAAACAGAATTGAATCTGCTCCCTGGAAGATAGAAGAGCAGACTTACCTCTCCATTCTTACAGTACAGATGTCCCTTGACTTACAAGGGATTTACATGCTGCTTTCCCACCCCCCATAAACCCACTGTAAGTTGAAAATACCACAAGTCAAAAATGCACTGAAACAGTCACTATGGTAATGCACCGCTGTACTTTCAATTACTTGGAAGGCAGAGGCAGAAGAATAGAGAGTTTGCCGCTGGCCCAAGCAAAGTTAGGAAGACACAATCTCAAAATGGAGGCATAGAGACAGGGCTCAAAAGGTAGAGCACTTGCCTAGTAAGTGTGAGGTCCTGTGCAGCCAAAAAACAAAAAAAATGAAGGCGCATCAAATATGTCAAACCTACATAACGTCCCGGCTTAGCTCCGCCTACCCAGTGCTCCAGACACTTCTGTTAGCCTGGAGTTGGGCGAAATCACTGCATGCAAATATCTCATGTGACCTATTGACTACAGTCCTGCAGGTGAGAAGCACAGTGGTTGCATGAATTTCACTTTCACACACACCATCGTAGAGTCAAAAGATCATTGAAGTCAAACCATGAACCGTTGTAAGACAGGAACAGTCTATTCTGTGTTGCGATTGGGCACACTGTGTCCAATTGGTTGTCCTTAACCCATGAATCATTTTTGGTCCAACAAGCCATGAACTTGAGAGAGTATCTCTGATCTCAGCTGCCGTAAACGGGACTGCCTGGAAGTACCTGCCCCCCCACCCCAAATAAAACCTACTTCAGAATGACAAGGTGCACCATCTTGAAGGAAGAATAATTCTTGCCATCATTCATTCCCAGCTGATGGAAGTGACTCAGGTTTCTGAAACTCACTGGGTGCTGCGGAGTCGTTAACCTCCCAAGTCTGTTTTCTACCCTGCAAAGCTGCAGTGAGAATAAAATGAGGAATGAATGTAAATTCCTGGTGCTTAGCATGCCGAGTCTCAATAAAGAGTAGTGCAGGGTGCTATTGCTGTGAGATGGGTGATGGAGTGCCTGGTCACAATGATGAAGACGATGACCCTAATAGCCACTGACATTTTAGTGTGTTAGCCATGTTTCAGGCGCCATGCAAAGCAACTTGCTCTATTTCGTGAATGCTTCCCACTCCGCTGCAATATTGGGACCATCGTTATCCTCTCTTCACAGATGGAGAAACTGGGGTTGAGAGACTTTAAGTAGTTGAACCAAGGTCCCAAGGTCAGCAAAGAGGTGAAGGTCCTGATCGTTCTGAATCCTTCCTTCTACAACACTGGGCAGTGCCGTCTTCCTTGAGCCCTGTTTGCTCAGCTCAAGTTTCTCTCCTGGTTGGGGACTGTGCTGTGGGTGGCAGTCTGGCTTGAAAGACACCTCTTTGTTAGTATGCTGTGCCATGCAGAGAGCAGCACCCACTCTGATTAACCATGTGCCACCCTGTTGGGCTCTG